AGCTTGTCTCTGCACAAATTTTTGTGCACTGGGCCTCTAGTATAGATATAAGGTACTAGTGGCCCAATGCACAAAATTCGTACAAGAATAGGCCTTCCTTCCCCAGCTGCCGGCAGTGGCTTTCCTCTGGCACCTGGGACCCAGGTTTCCCTTGCACCCCTAGCTTAGTCCGGAAGGACATCCAGAAGGACGTCTGGTCTAATTAGCATATTACACTTTTATTATTATAGATTATGTTGGAAAGTGAATCCATAGCCAGTGTATGCAAGTCGCTTCTCTCTAAGCCCATCTTCTTCTCATTAAATGTGGGGATTGGGTGAGTTCTTTGATTGTTGTTGCTTTTCATATCTTATAAAAAAGAAAAACTGTTCTTGTTGCTTTCCCAACCTCACTTTTACATTAATTCCCAGTTAGCAACCCACTCCCTATGTGCACTCACCATCTTACCTACCTTGAGTTAAACACTGCAATTAGTAATTGAGGGCTCCACTTAATGAGCTTGCAATCTACTTTCATGTGTAGATTTTCTAATTGGTGGTTAGGTTAATAGCCATATTTCAGAGATTCTCACTTTACTTGAAATTGACATAGTTGTCGTAACATGCAGAATGAGCTTTGCAGTTTGCTTCCATCAGATGACAAAGTCTATCAGTTCTGCCTTTCCCAGAATTGTGAAGATGTACCCCACTTTAATAAGTATTGGGCTTGGAAATCTACATTTTAAGTTATTACATTAGGAATAATAATTCATCTTACTAAACCTCTCTACAGAATACAGTAGAGACTCTCTCATATACCCTGTGGATGTTGAAATATGATTTGGCTCTTTCACAGCCCTACAGGAATGCTCCATTGTTTAAAATATGCCATAGCTGGAGATTTTTTATTTTTGCTTTTGGTTTATTAGTTGTTTTGTTCTGCCTTTTGTGGTTACTGTTGCTGTTTTTAATGCTTTTACAGTACTGAATGTCAATCTATGGATTGTGCATTGGATAATATACTAGATGAAGTTTGGGGGCAATAGCAATCTTGATTAATGCACAATTAAGCTACTCATTCACCAGATAATCTGCTGAGAACCAGCTACATTAAAAACAACACTAAGCTCTATCTTAAAAGAATGTTACCAATATACATTGACAAATATAAATAAGGAATTCAATTATATACAATTTTATGTAACCGTTGTTATTAATACTAAAATGTTAGGTATGTGGTGGGTTGAATAGTATCCCCTCCAAAATTCATGTTCACTTGGAACTTCAGCGTGTGACCTTATTGGGAAATAAGATCTTTGCAGATATAACTAAAGGATTCAGATGAGATCATATTGGACTAGGGAAGGCCCTAAATCCAACAAGAGTGTCCCTTTAAGAGATAAAAATTTTTTAGTTATATATGATAGGAAAACATTCTCAAATTCATTTATGGAAAAGGGGAATAATTGGCTCATGTAATTGAAATCGCTGGATAGAACTCTCTAGCGATTGGCAAAGCTCAACCTAAGATTTCGAATCATGTAACCAGAGCGCAGCCTCAAATGGCTCTGCTGTTTATATTGGCTTTATGCTCAGATTTCCTCTGGCTACAAAGACGGCTTCCGACAGTTCAAGTTCTACATTCTCTTAGGTTCAAGTCTAACCAAAAAAAATGTAAGGTACTTCAACAAGAGGACATTTAACACAGGAACTTGGTTTCAGAAGAGATGAAAGCACTGAGACAATAAACAGGAGCAGATGAGACAACTCGGAGATGAGCAACATGAGGAAGCCCCTACACTTCTAGGGCTTAGCAATCCAGAGGCTGTGGCATCAGCAATAGGGTAGTGCTTGCCCAAAAGAAGAGTCAGTCATTACCAGAGATGCCATGTGGGGCAGAGAGAGCAAGATACCCTGGATTTTCCCTTTCTGTCCTTTAATCTCCCACCAATGCCTTCCATTGACGGAACCTAACCACACCTAGCTGACAGGGGGCCTATAAAATGCAGACAGGGTTAGCCCTCCTCACGCCCCAATACAAGCAGAGGGAAGGGGAGGGATGATCTGAATACAAATAGGATATATTATTTAGCATTTTGCTGTGATAATGCTATATAATAAACAACTCCCAAATCTCAGGGGCTTATAATAATAAACATTGATTGTTTTTGCTTGTGGATCTGCAAGTTAGCTCACAGTGGAGGGGAAGGGCACGGCTTTAAGCTGTATGTTGGGTTTAGGTCTCCTCCTTCTGTCTCTCATTCTGGGACTTGCAGTCATCCAGGGCATCCTCTTCTCATGGCAAATGGCAAAGTGCAAGAGCACAGGTAGAAACGTGTGATGTCCTTGAGGACTCAGTTCAGAACTGACATACTGTCCCTTCCACCCACATTCCACAGCCTAAAGCAAGTCACGTGAACAAGCCCAACATCTATGTGTTGGGACCAATATGCTGCTTACTCTTATGAGAGGCAGCACAAATCACCAGGTGAAGGCGCCCGGGGCATGTAATTCTATTGCAGGAAAAGAGTAAAGAATTTGGAACAATAAGACAACACACACAAATAAATGATCAATACCGCCTACCTCCTACATCTACTCCAAGCAAAATATCTCATTTGCTCTGAATGGGTCACCTGCCCCATCCTAAACCATTCACTATGACTTAAGATGTGTGATACTCTGATTGGTTATACCTGAGTCAGATTTCCAGTTCTGAAGCTGTAGTAGGATCACTAGGACAAGGAAAGGGGGTGGTTTCCCTGAGGAAATCAGAGTACTCTTTTTAAAATATATATTTTTTAAATATATTTTTATTGATCATTAATGATTGACCACCATCTGTGGGCTCCTCTCCCCTCCCCAAAAGGTCTGGGATGGGGCTGAAAGTACTAGCCCTCTAATAACACAGTTGGTTCCTCTGGTAGTCAGCTCCCATCCAAAAGAATGTAGAGTTCCACCAATAGTTATCCTATTAGCATAAACACAGATATAGTCAAAAAGAGCTTGTTATGAATAATGAAAGATGGTCCTATCTACTTAGGAAATTCCAAGGGTTTTAGATGCTCCATGTCAGAAACTGGGGGCAAAGACCAAAAATATATTTCTTATTGTATCGCAATCAGTTTTCCCCACGAGAAGATTATTTGCTCTTATAAGGTCTTGACCACTTGAATAAATCCAGACGAATAGGATCAACTCCTCGCTCCGTATGTCCACAGTGGCCCCTCAGTTCCAGCTCATTTCCCACCACATTCCCCACAGATGACTTGTGATCTAGACACCACACTCAGTTCCTCAAATGAGATCTACTCCTTCAGGCATTCCGGAAGTTTAATTCTCTGTTTTAAATGTCCTTTCTCCACTGGTGGGCTTGCAACTTCCCACTTACTCTTCACTCATCAGCTAAACCTCCTTAGATGGCAGGTGCTGATGCCTTCATGTTGCAATGGTAAGACAGAGGCTTGGAAAGGGACTGTGCACCCTATCTCTCCGTCCCCTAGATCACTTGTGGTCTTTTAACATCTGGACAACTCCCCGCCTCCCTCCTTTTGCTCCTGCCCCTCCTCCCACTTCCCCTTTTCACTTTAAATACCCTTCCTTCTTACTTTGACCCATGCAAGACCTGGCCATCCTTCGCAGCCCAGGGAAGCGCCCCCTCTCCCAGGTGACTTTCCCTGCTGAGTCCATACAACATTCCTCTGTGCGTCTTTGTAAGCCCCTCCAGGCAATCACTGTGTCTTAGTCATCTTTGGACTCCCCCATGGAGTTCAGCGAAAGAATCTTGTACTTAGTAGGGATTCAAGTTGTTGTTGTAGCAGATGGAACCCCAACTCACTCCCTTTTCCACTGACCGGCTATGTTTAGGACGTCAGGGTCGCCCTAGTATTGTAATACAAAAAGAAGACCTTCTCTTGCTAAGCAAGCTCCATTTTGGCTGACTTCAGGAGAAAGGGAGATATAAGCCCATTACTTATAGAAGGTGTTTTATTGTATTCACCAAAGGATAATGGGAGGGAGAATGCAATAGTATAACAATGAAGGAAGGAAATGAACTAATTCCTGCTTTGGGGGGAAGTATACAATAGCTGTGCACCAGGCTGAAGGAGTGTTTTCCAAAAGCAAACAAAACAAAATGATTAATTATATGCACTGAAACCCACAGTGAGCACTTTCGATAGAGAAAAGGGCTGTCCCATCACTGGAGCTCTCTGCATACTCTGAATTTGTAAATGCTGCCTCAAGACTCGACTACGGGAAGTAGTCCCGCTAAAAGCATAACTAATATGCTTGGGGAATATTTTATATGATAATCATTTTTCTGCATGTTATTCTCTTTGAACTTCAAAGAAAATGAAATGATCAGAGGACTACTACAAATGAATGAATATTCACCAGGGCTTCACCAGGGATGAAAAAATGTAGCATTAGCATTGTGAGAGTTTATCCTTTTGTAGTTTATCCCCTTGGGCTCAATAGGATGTCATTCATCATTTAAAGAAATAAGAGTTTGTGTATTTTTTCAATTTCTGTTCTCAAATAAAAGCCTGTTGCCATTATGTTCAGTTTATTGCCAAAAGTGCACACAACTGTTTAATAAAATATATGCAATAAGGGAAGATGAAAAGCAAACTGAGATTTTTCCCTATTTCAACAAATAGAATGGAAGTAAGGATTTAGTTAGGCAAACAGGGCATGCCAATTAGAAGAAAAGATTCCCTGAAGCCGTGTAAAATACAAGTAGAGAAAGTCATTCTACCTAGCCCCGTATTTACAATTGTGGAAGTTATATAATTACTGCATAAATATTCGTCAAAATTCCTGTGTGAAACCAGGCACAAATGAAATGAAGGAGAAGTTTCACATCGGCTTTATGATAGGAGGAAAACAGAGGGCCGGCCCCGCCCCTGGGTGCTCCTCACTGCACATCCCAGATTTCGCAGAGAAGCGGCGTGAACTTGTGGTCATTGACGCGCCAGGACATCAGCATCTCCGCGTGGTGGTGGTTGAATGTCCGCAACTCTGTCAGGCGGCCCAGGAGACAGGCGAAATGCTGGGGGTTCTCAGGCTGATGGATCTTGCACAGCTTCTGCAGCACGTCAAGCAGAGGTTCCTGAAGCTTCTCTACGGCCTCTCTGTCCTTTATGTATTGTCTGTCTGTTTTGAAGTTTGACAAAACAACAAAGTTAAAAAGTGGAAGGTTTGCCCTAACCGGTTTGGCTCAGTGGATAGAGCATTAGCCTGTGGACTGAAAGGTCCCAGGTTCGATTCCGGCCAAGGGCATGTACCTTGGTTGCGGGCACATCCCCAGTAGGAGG